ACTGCAATAGACAATCGTTTCTTCTCCAATGATAAGAACACCACAGAGAGGTGGAGGTACAGGTATGAGCAAACTAGCTCCATTGTCAAGATTGTTTTGCGACCAGGGTCCCTCAGTAAAGTCTTTATCCTTCAAAGAAACCTCATATGTTTTGATATGACGAGCATCTTTGTTATCCTACACAAAAGAGGAGACAATAAGCCACAACCAGAAGCATGACTGTATAATTCATAAAATGAAGTATGTGGAACATGAAGCCTTAAGGAAACCCAAGACTTGTCAAGAAACAACTACTAAATCATGCATCTAGCATGTCTCACTTATGATGCAGACCCATACTCAAGCTCAATAGCAAGGCAAAATTGCAATATAAATTACAAGATTTCCTTTATATCCTTAAAGATTAAGTATCTTAGCTATATGATCAAGTAATAATATTCACTACTTGACCATAAAGAATATTCAAAGTTAAACTTTTAAGAGATCCTGACATGCTAACATAAGTGGATTAAATGCATCCTTGATACCCACTTCAAAAAAATGTTTTCCAACATACTCCCAAGAACTTGTGATATTTTCAAACTTAATAAGGGGTGGGGCTAAACATATGATTTAGCCTTTAAAAGGAGGAGGACAAAAATGTCTAGAACAAACATATTATTTGGAAAGAAAATTAGGACCTGGTATAGAACTACAATTGTAGGCTTAACTACAATTGTAGGCTTTGAGCAGCCATATAGAAACTTGATATCCAAAACTTGAAGTTCCTCTAGCCTGAAAATAAATCATTGAAAGAGACATGATATCAGGGACAAATTCTAAGCGTAATCTAATATTAGGATATTTAAATTTGTGTTTCTGTGTTGTTGCAGTGTAGGGTAAAGTATATGCCAAAAGAAGAAGAAGAATCCAATTGAAGTGTTAACTAAAACATCAAGTTATTGAGCATCTGCCTTTCATAGCTGGTCAAGATCAAAGCAATTTCTTTGCTTTCAGACTCGAACAATTAAATATCGACCAGACCAGGAATACCTTATATTAAAAGCTTCTTTGAGCTGTCCTTTATTATCAAAAGGAATAACCTGAGACAACAAGGAGTATATAAATTCTTTACTTTCAAAGAACTTTATAACTGAATGGAATGGAAGACTGCAGCCAACTAAATATCTAGGCCTAAGATAATATGGTATAAATTTTTTATACCTTAAACAACCCATCATATAAATGAAGTCCAATTAATCTACAATCAGGATCAATTATGCCAATCTGCAAAATAAAAACAAAAGAAAACATGTCACCAGGACAAGGTTTGCCGAAGCACCAATGACAAAATGCAACCCATGTAGTTTTAAAAAAAACTTGAAACCACTATAACTATTAGACTGAAATAGGTCTATGATTGTGATTGATTACCTGCCCATTATCTGTAGGACGACCAATTCGATCTGAAACATCCCCCATTGCTCTATAGGGTAAAAGAATGACGTCTTAACCCCAAGAATGTGATACAAATTTTCCACAAATTTGATAAATTACAATGAATTCAAATATAGCATAATTTTAACCATTTTGTGCCTCTGGATCACAATTAATTCAAGTTCTAATTTCTATTTTTGAGCCATTTCTAATTCCGTTTAAACTTGTTTTAAATTAACTGGCCTAAAATTAACAATCACAAAAATGGTGGGTCCAACACTTTAACCATGTAAAAACCATACTAGAACAGGCTAGAGGAGAAATCTCTATGTACAAGAAATAACTATTCAGCATTAAAAGGCATAGAACAAGGAGTAAGGAAACCAGTACACTACAATGGAAATAAAATTTCATTGGCTTTTCATGTTTAAACCTTGTAATAAGTTCAGATGTATCAACATCCCATTGTAAAACACAGAATTTGTATCTTTCTGTTGATATAAACAGAAAGTCTTGTGCTTCACCCTGTCAGAAAACAAAATATAACTAAAAAATAACAATGAACAAGCTGACAACAAGGGCTCCAAATAAAAATAATAATAATAATAAAAAACCAAAAAACTCACATGTGGACGGAAAAGCTCAAGAGTTGCAATTCTTCCATATATTGGCACATCCAACATAGGCTGCATAGGAAAATCAGATTGATTTATAGGCCCATATACACTTTAGCGAGACCCTTCGTAAATACTCCAGGACACCCAAAAAAAAAAAAAAAAATGCCAGTAACACAAACAAAGAGAAGTAGAAGAAAGTATATGCTATTGCTAAAAAACCAAGGCAGTGGAAACACTTTAAAACTGGAAACTAATAAAATGGAACAAGTACTTTAAATAGACATGTCAGTATGACTAAAGAAAAAACATGTATACCTGTAAGCCCTGTGGTGTAAGCAAATGAATTTCGATACGGGTACATTTCCTGGAAGCAGAACAAATTGTTAGTACACAGGTTATAAACTGCAGGTCCCAGCAAGAGCTTAGTTGAGAACTTGAGATGTAGCCACCAAGTTCAAAAACCTTGAGTCAGGGGTGAAAGGATAGGAGTTCATATATGATATATCTGCAATAACCAAGCACTAACTTTCCTTGCACATCAAAACTTAAAAATTACAAAAAAAAAAAAAAAAAAAAAAAAAAAAGGAAAAGAAAAAGAAGAAGAAAAAATAGAGCTTATAGACAGCTTATTATTATTAGTAGTAGTAGTAGTAGGAACACTCAATACACTTGATTAAAAGACAGTACAACGAAAATCAATATCTTTTTTTCTCGAAATTTTCTCCTGAGCAGTTTAAACAAAGCATAGAATTTTCATCACTACCCATCAATCCCCAATTGCTTAACTAACATAAAAACGTGAACTTTCTTAGACTTGCTATGAAACTATAGATGATAAAGAAGCACGAGCTCCTTCTTCTGGATGCAACAAAAGAAAAAACCCAAAAAAACCCAGTAATCAGAAGAAAAAGGAGAAGCGAAACATACGCAATGATGAGATTGAGCTCCTGAGGACTAGTGAAATTGCCGACGCAGGAATGGGTGACGTTAGTGGGCTTATGCGCCGACACGACGTAGTTCCATATACTCATTTTCTGGGATCTCTGGGCCGAAATTCTTGAGGTCGGCGGGCGTTTGAACCTTCTGGAAGCTTCGGTGGCGGTAGCGGGTGTAGCCGCTAAGAGGAAAAGGGAAGGAAAGCGAACACTGTAAGAGTCAGAGAGCTTAATCGTGATTTAGCTCCAATCTTTAAAGGTAAGTTACATTTAGACCTTTGAATTTCACATTTTATTTTAGAGCAGCGCTAGGGCCACTCGCCTCTTGCAGTCTTCGGCAAACACTTCCCATTTCATTGGGCCACGTAAGCTCGTTTTCAGGCTTTGAATGCAACCTCTTGCCAAACCAAAATAACGCGGCCAATAAAAGTGAAAGTGTTGGCCGGAGAGTGCAAGAGGCGAGTGCCCCTAGTACTGCTCTTTATTTCATTTTTTTCTTTTGAATATGGGAAAATAAGGAGCAGGAAAAATAAAAATAGAAGAAAAAATGAAAAAGATTGAACGTTTTATTAATTTTATGTGAAGCACCCTCATATTTATAGAATACTGTTTAACATGACACACTTTAGTGTTAGGAGCTGCTCAAGTGCTGTTTTCCTAAACATTTATTCATTTTTGACCTTTTAATATCCAAAAGTTGCAGGTAATATAAAAAGAATTTATTGAATATGGATTTTTTCTTTATTCACAGTTTTAAGAAAATATGGGTTATTTTTCAGTTTGTTTTTAAAATAATTGCAACATTTTTTATTAAAAAATTTGAACAGGTCGATTTGAACAATTCACTGCATAGTGAAATGTAATAAAAAAGTTTTTGAAGTGATCATTAAGAGAATAGCTATTTTTTTTTTTTTCAATTTAAATTATTATTTTTTTATCTTGATTGCATAATAAAAAGTAATCATTTTTTATTTTTTATCTCATCTCATTTACATGTCATGTAATTTGAATTTAGAATCTTTTATTTTTAACGAAATGAGATGACCATTAAATAATTTAAGTTGTTGCTAATTTAAATTAAAATTTATACACCTAGTTTATGTTGATTTATCACATTAGAATGTGAACCGTTCAATATTAGAGCTATATAGGCCTTTATCTAGTCTCTTAATACTTTAATATTTGAATTTAAAATATTAAATATCATTAAAATAAAAAATAATTTATT